ACAAAAAAAGGGGTGAAGTCTAAGAGTTTATCCTCCGAATTAAATAGATCCCAAGTTGCCATAGCCAATCGTTAACCCGATTTTCCATTTTTTCTTTCAATGAATTCTAGAAAAACGGGATGAATTTTGAGAATTCGGCCCACAAGTGGCTAGTACCCTAGGTTTCCATATGCCATCGTCACCCCAACTTTCCATTTGATCAGTGAATTTCAAAAAAAAGAGGTAAATTCTGGGCATGAAATTTTTTTCAGGTCTGATTTTCACTATTGCTCAAATAGTGCTTTACTGCGAAGGATCGTGCTCATATACGTCTCATAACCGCAGTTCACACATATGTTTCATATGTTTGTTGTTGTTTGATTTATCATCTACGGGTTTATGTCGAATTAATTTGATGGCCTGCTCCCAGTTGGCTTGTTAGCTCAATTGGTAGAGCGCTGCACTAGTATCGCAGAGGTCAGTGGTTCGAATCCCGTACAGGCCTGAAATTTTTTTCAGGTCTGATTTTCACTATTGCTCAAATAGTGCTTTACTGCGAAGGATCGTGCTCATATACGTCTCATAACCGCAGTTCACACATATGTTTCATATGTTTGTTGTTCTTTAAAGTGGAATCTGTCATTCATCTTGGAACTCTGTGTTTATAATATCGGCTTGTGGCCATGGAGATTGCTTTATTGAATTGCAACTCTTTTTGATTCTCTTAGTGAAGTAATTTTTCTTTTTCGAGAACGAGGGAGATATATTAGCTTTTAATGATCAGGGAGACCTTGGTGGCATTAATGATTGTCGGTCACAATTTTACTGTGGGAGCTGATCTATGGCTATGGCGTCTTAAAAAATTCACAGCGACAGTAGTTTGATGGTTTCAATCTGTGTTGATATTCTCCAACTTTAGCCATTTATGTTCTGTTTGTTTTATTTCTACCTCGTTAGCGTTTGTTAGCTCTGTAAAGCATATTTCCTCTGCTAAAACGAACTTCCCTAGGTGGAGTAACACTGTGGCTGTTTACTTGAACAAGCTGATGATGTACATATATTCATGGTGAACCCTTTGTGAATTCGCTGTGAATAAGCTGAAGGTTATTACAAGAAGTAAACCGCCAGATAGGAAGTCAAGATCTCCCCCCCCCCGGTCTTTCAGTTAATTCGTTTAACCGATCATGTAGTAATGTGGGGAGCACTCCATTTCGGCGCCTCAGGGGTGCAATTAAATTTTTTTCACCTGTAAGATAACCTAAATAGACATTAGCAGCTGATTCTTATCGTAAAGTTGGTTGTTTCACTTTACACAGTGACAAAGCTTTCACTGATGCAGGAGTTGTGGTAATTTCGATATTTGCTTGTTAATGTGCGAATGTGTTTAAGCGAGATATCAATTCATCAATTTTACTATAAAAATTTCAACACTATTTTTTACGAGTTTCTCTTAGATGTACGGACCACAAACTGATATAGATCGAAAGTAGTTCTGTATCGATCACAGATTACTTCTGTCAGAGTTTTTTATATTAGAGGGAGAAAAAAAAAAGACTCTTGGCAGTGAAGGTTACAGGCTATTTAGCTCAGAATTTCTGCCATGTCGTGCCAAATTTGTTTCACTATTACTTACCTAGCGATTGCATAAACAATCAAACCGACCATCACAATTTGATTCGACAGAAATGCTAATTCTGTGCCTAGAAACACCACGAGAAGTTCACAAAATAATGTGAAGTGCACTCATTGCGTGTTACGCTGGGTGTCAGTTATCTTAAGCAAAACGATGTTTAGTTTAATAAAGAAGGAAATTGTTGCTTACGTTCCCGATGCAAGGATTGCGTAAAACATAGCCAATGGAAATTGTAATTTTCAAAGAAAATCGGTTTAGCCATATGATGGGCAGCCATTGCTCTGCTCAAGAGATAAGCATTTGATCATGTCGGATTTTGTTTCCTTCGCTAACGTGAATAGAAAATCGTACATTATTGCTTAATTTCAAATTAATCATAAAAGGCGGGTAAAATAATCTGTTTCGTTCGTTGTATTAAGCTTTGGCGTTTAAGATAGCGAGAGATCGATCGATTTCAGGTTTTCTTAGCGACTTTTTTTATTTGTTTTCGCAAATCGAACCTAATTTTTACTCTTGCTGTCCATTGTTCACTCTATGGTTTATTAAAAATTTTCTTTTCACCGATCAAGACGTTAATTTTTCATACAATAGCTATTTGCAAGTATATTTGTTTGCAGAGAAAGTTTTATTTCATTTCCTTGTTTGTTTGGTTTCATTTTCATATGATCATGATACTAAACACGACACTTTTCGTCTTTTAATTAAAGGTAAGCACTAACAAAAAAATGTACAAATCACCTTTTCCGCTTTTAAATTAGAATTTGGAGATTCAGCATCCCGTCTAAAACCTGGGAGGTCCCTATTGCCGAGAAAATGTTTGGTTAAATGGAAATCTGCAGCGAAAGTTGACTTTAAGCCAGACTTTGCTGTGTGCCACGTGATTGGCTGAAAACTGGCGCTCCTTTGCAACCAGTCAGACACACAGTTAAAACAAACGTGACTTGGGCAATATTTGGACATTGACAAACGCAAAAAGTCAAAGTTTGTTTGTCTTAATTTGTTCTTCAATAACGACACTGAAGCGAAAATTGCTGGTTGAAAGTAAGTCAAGGCTGATATTGTACTTACTCTAGTCCTGTGAGTTTTCGGTTTAGAGAAAATTCATGCTGGATATTCTTTGAGGAATATAGAGGTTTTGCACAGCAGCCATGTTGGATGGCAGGATCAATAGATTATTTTTCCCATGGGAAAAAAATTTCTTTCTTATGCAAAATATTTTCATTGTTCCTGCCATCCAACATGGGTGCTGTGCAAAACCTCTATAGTCATTAGTTAGTAGTGCCAGGGGACGAAACAGTAAAAGGGGGCTGGAAAAGCACTGTCCGTGTGAATGGAGCAATAGATTCCGTTTACCCCCAAGAAATTTATATGATATATTATTCACGAAGTATTTCATAGATTATTAGCTATATATGTGCATGCATATAATCTCCTTGCTCAACATTTTAAAGACAATTTAGCCGTTGAAAGAGGATATCAAAATCCTGTGGCAAACCCCATTTAAACCTCAAAACTCCGTTGACTAAGGTTAGTGGAGTAGATACTAGTTATTTCGAGTCCTGTGAACTCAACGAAATTTGTCTTTACTGAATCGTCTGTTAAAGTTAAGGGGAAAATATCTATCTACAAAGAAACCCGTATCAACTGTGGCAAGATTGAAACTAAAACTTAAGTTACGTTTTGAACATAATATTTTCACTAAAATATCTCCATCTCATTGATGAGGAAATTGTTTTTCTCTCACCTTAGCACAGCCTTGAATATTCAGAAAAGGGCTTCAGCTTTACAAGAATCTCCATACTAGGAATCGGTTTTAAAAGTTTAAATTCATATAAGCTATGATAAGATCACGCTATACGCTGGAGCCTTATCAAATTTAATCCCCGTTGCATCAGATTTATTAAGTTAAACTCAAATCATATCTTAAAGCATTGCCTAAGAAGGAAACTTGGGTTTTTAAAAGTAATTTAGCTTTGAATTTTCGGATTTTTCCTCTAATTTTATTCTTGTTTGTTTACAAATTGATATATCAAACACCTAAGGGCATGCCGTTTGTCACGATCTTCGCTGCTCCAGTAATTTGCGAGCATTCTCCTTTCGATTTTCATCAATGCAACGAAACAAGTTTTCCTTCTCAGTGTTTAGTATCATGACTGAAGATTTACCCTCTTTTATTGAAATATTACACCACTTGTGTTCCTCGTAGTGATGTTTCCAATTCAAATTAAAAGTAAAACACTCTTGGCCCTGGTTACGTTAGTAAAGCCATTAAGCTCTTATCGCTGTCTTTTGCGTTGACAGTCATAAGTTGAGAACTATTGAAGATATATGTTGCTTCTGATTATTTTGTAATTAACGCAAGCTAATTTCATTTTCAACTGAATGATTTAAGTGCACGTAAGACAGTCCTTTCCGATTCTGCGAGTGAATCGGAGACGTGACAGTGGGTAGCCAATATCCTGTTTGAGCCATTTCATTCTCAGTCAGGCAAGTGCGCGAATGGATCTTTTGTATTTACTAAAATACGTCTACTGGTCTGCGTATTTTCAATTATATTTTACCTGTTCTAAGACTTCAAGCACTGACGAAAGCGAGTCGCCTTTAATGGTTGAGGTGAAACGAACTGCAAATCTTCCAAAAGAAGCATCTTGCAACACGGTGTTACTACTTATTTACCAGCCAATTTCTTGAACGCTTTTTAGGAACTTGGGTAAGATAATTAATTTTATTTAATTTTTTTCATTCCTAAATGATGTTAATTGTTTAATGTAGTTTTGGCAATTTCTATTCGAAAGAGTCAGTTTTGACCTTTTTCGTTGGGAAACGTTTTCAATCAGCAATGATAGGGAGGGACACAAAAATGAGGAAAAATCAAAAGAAATTAAAGAAATTAAAATTACATCTGCCTTTATATAAGGAATACAATAGTAAAATTGTCGCAGTAATTTCATCTAGTCAGGGTAAGCGATTTTCACGATAGACATGCAGAATCAACGAAGTACATGTTCAGCCAGAAATGCCCCTTACTCGTTTTAGTTTCGTTCTTCCGTCACATTAATGCAATGGTTGAGCAATAGTTCTTTCAATAAAAACTTTTAGTCACAATGCAGCATAAACATAACTTTTCAAGTATAAATCAGACTGCACCAAGCACAATAACTAGCGATTAATATATTGTACCTTTGTTTCTCATCTTTTGTGTTCGTTTTTTCTTAATGGCTAAAATAACCATACTGGATGCGCGATATTAAAAGAGAGTAGCAATTCTTGGAATGTTACGGCGTCGCCTCACGGGTGGATTTGTCGAACGAATTGGTCGTTTATGAACAAGAAACTGGGGTTCCTCGCAACGCAAACTTTGCTGACATTTCTTATTTCCATTTGGACTGACTAGTAGGTCACGACGGGCTGGCCAAAAAGCGCTTCCTGATGCACCATAGTTTATTAAAATCGGTTCGTTCAGTCAGCGGGGGTTTGCCAAAAGTAATACGAGATATATATGCAAACCTAGAATGTACCATGATCAAGGATTTAAGTTCAGTTGAACAAAATAATCGGATACGTTGCAAACAAATGAAAACCACATCAAAGTATGTCAAAAAGTCATAATCCTTCTTCCATGAAAAATAAACGATTCCAAGTACTTTATGGATAATACATTTATAAGGAGTGGGTTTATTCTCTTTTATTTCGCTCATGCAATGGGCTCGATGAAAAAAAAAATAAATAAAAAAATAAAAAGAGGTTTTATGCTACGTCTAGTTAGAAAATTAAATTAATTCTCAACGCAGTAACTAAAAACGTTTTTTCATTATTTCATCGGAAGTTGCACCATAGTGTTTTCTCCAAACTTGAAAATTCTGAATTAATAATCATCTGCGGTCTGCATGCATTTATTACGACTTGTCCCATTTCTTTCTCTTGGGGTAGAAACAATTATTTCAGTTCCGATTTCCAAAGCAATTTGTCTACATCGCCTGAAAAATGTTTGTCTAAAGAGACATTTTGTGCTTTCTTTCCAAAGGGTCTGTCACCTTTGATTACATTTAATGATTACAATGGCGCCAGTTTAATATCTAGAAAGTCCCAAAGTACTGTGAATGTCATCACCTAACCGGACGGCTAACTTTAATTAGTACCAACGCAGGCTAGGTTGCTTGGCTCTGACGGATGAATTTTCCGAAACATAAGTCTGACGCGAGTCTTTTGCCAGTATGAGGTAATGAGTTGAGCTGGTATGAATAAGAAATCCATCCTGCAAGTAATTCAGAGGTAGAAAGTGTCTGATATTTCGTTTCTAAAACATGGGTAACGTAAGAATGAGGGGTGCATGCGTCCTTAAAAATGTATTATTTTTAGTTTCGAAACGGTTTTCCTTGAGTTCAAAATATTGCCGATTCGTTCGGATCGCGGTTTTTAATTGAGGTTTGTTTAATGAATTTTTTTTTTCGTTAATGTCAGTAGCTTCCTAAAGATTTTTCATTCAATTTCTTATCGAAAGGAAAAAAAATCTTTCAGTCAGGATTGCGCGTTTAATGATAAAAAAAATGGATTAATGAAGGTCTCTAGCAGTTATCGCTATTTAAAGTATTATGGAGCCACAGTGAATATGCTTTTAAAAATACAGATAAACCTGTTTCAGTTGTCTAAAATCCAGAAGATAGATTTCTTTTACAGATATCAATTACTTTCTTGAACTACATAGGAAATATACTGAATTTTAGGAAATTTTGTTGACGTTGATAATGGAGTCGACTTTCAGAGGAGTAAGTTTCATTTCTCAATACAATTGTTTCTTGTTTGCTACCCTTCAGCCTTTCTCATTGTGGGTTACTATATTGTCTGGTGTTGTAATTAGTAACTTTATTAAGATCGATAAGACTAACTTTACGAGTTTCTCCTCGTGACCATATGGCACTGAGGCAAATTATCCCTACTAGTAATTCATACTGGCAAGTATTTCTTTTTCTTTTTTTTCCTTGCGAGGAAAATGCATCTAGTGTAAATAGCATGTCTAATGCTTTTGCTAAATGTCAGTTGAAAAGCACTTAACCTTTTAAAATTTTTAGAGCTTTTCTTGTGGCTAGCGAGCGGCTTACCACTCGTGTCTAGCAATTATGCGCTGAATAAACCACGGTCAGTTGTAGCTAATTGGAAGATTTCTGACTCATCGGTTAGGTTCTAAAACAGTAAAAACTCTGAGCATTAAAGCGAGTTTGTAAATGCAGTCTATTTGACAAGTATTCTTTAAAATTGTTACTCTTGTTTCCATTTAGGCATTTCAGTTCGGTTAGAGAACTTCTGCATATCATTTCGTTGGAATAAACTAAAGGTAAGAGCAATAATTGTCGTACTAGAATTGCATCAAAACGTGTATCGCATGTAGCGAAACAAAAGATTTAATGAGTAAAGCGAAAAAGTGAAATCGCCAAAATTTGCAACCTTTAAGAACAGAAACCTCGACACCAATTTAGTAAAGTTTGTTCTTGAACATAGCTCTTCATTGACAAATTATGTTGGAGGGAGTATCTTGCACAGTCAAAAACGGTGAAGTGATGGAGCTCGTGAGAAAATTTCCTGAGAGAAATAAATTTCAATCTTTTCAAATAGGCGACGTTTTTCCAGGCGTTTCTTGAACACGAAAGTGGGACAAAAAAGAAAATGGGGGAGGAAGTTAATTGACCATATCTCACACGCAAGCCTCAAACATTTGCTTACCCACGAAACGACAGAATTTCTAAATAATTTTGACATTAAAAATTATTACATTTGTTTTATCAAACAAAGGAATGAATTCTTCTAACGGAACCACCCCAGCTAAACAGCCTTACACAGACACCGAGAAGGTTGTGCTGATCGTACTGTACGTCGCAATCTTTACAGTAGCGCTGTTTGGCAATTCCATTGGATTGTACGTAGTTTGTTTCAAGACAACCTCTAAGAAAATACATAATCTTTTGATAAAGAACCTGGCAATCGCTGACTTGTTGATGACATTGACTATCATGCCATACTCAGTGCTGTTCATGTTCCTTGAGCCAAACCAGTGGATTGGAGGTACTTTGGGGACAGTCACCTGCAAAATATTTTTCTACATCATACCTGTTTCAATCGCTGCATCCGTGACAACGATGGTGATCATTTCTCTGGATCGATTTTGGGCCATCTATTTCCCTCTCAATCAGGCCGTTTTCCATAAGCATAAAACAATAACAGCGGCAATATGGCTAATTTCTTTGATTTTCACGACACCATATTTGATACTATACAAAGTTTTCAAGGTAGGGGAGGACTTTTATTGTGCTCAAGACTGGCCTTGGGCAGACAACCCCATAGAGAATTATTTGGCCGTGCGGACATTCCACGTGGTGTTATTTTTTTTGTTCTATCCCCTTCCCCTCGCCATTATAACTGTATTGAACACCATCATTGGTCGACGTTTGTGGTTCCACAGGATACCAGGAAGTATCTCCAGTTCTCCAAGGACACCCGTTGAACTCTCAAGGCGGAAAGTTGTCAAAATGTTAGTCGTAATTGTCTTGGCATTCGCGCTGTGTTGGTTACCCACACATGTGATGCATTACTTAATGTTTTTTAAACAGGCTAAAATCCCCACGTTGACAGCGAATTTGCTTTATTGGGTGTCGCATGCAAACAGTGCGATCAATCCTTTGTTGTACATCGTTTTTAACCGAGCTTTTCGTTTTGCATTTATGAACGCCTACGTTGCTATGGTTATGTCACCTGTTCACGCAATCAATGCTTGCGCAGGTTACATCTCGGGAGAGCAATCCGTGCCCGAACAGCAAACAAGCCAGCGCACTGTGATGCTCTGTAAGCATGCGCACTCGTTTCACGTGTCACCCTCTGGAGAAGGTGCACAAGACAATGAAAAGGTAAACCAGGACACTAAGCTTTGAATCTACGTGTATGGAACGAAAAAAAGGTTAGGAGAGTTAAATGTTCTAAATGTTATTTCAATTACTCGCGCTTGGCTTGAAAATCAATTTTGAATTGTACAGAAGCAAAAGGTATAAACCATCATTCTCTTGACAAAAGTCGATGATCACACAATTTTATGGCAAAAAGAAGTACCAAAGCTTGATCAAATGTTTCCTCTAAAACAAATTTCGTAATTGTTCATAAATTAGCTCTACCGGTATCAATGCAATGTTTGAGGTTACATGAATAAACGGAGAATCCGGCTTCACATGAAACATGCCGCTCATCTTTTGAGATGAATAAAAGGATTTCTGTTTTACTTCAAAATAAGTTTAAAGAGATTCAGTCCAACAGTTGTTGAATGCTACTGTTGAAACATATTCCTATTTCTGTATGGCAGAAGCCTACAAGAAAACGTTTTAAAAGAGCACTTTCTACGTATTACTTTTTCAGTGTTAATTACTATGATCTTAATTTGACCTGATAGTATTTAGTTATGTTTTGGTAAAGCTGTGATGCCTCTTCTCCTCTCTCATATTTGTATCGTTTTGTTGATATACATGGAAAAGTGTAATTGAAATTAAGGCATCTAATTAGTTAACTCCGTATATGATGCCGTTCTTCATTTTCTCTCTTCTTTGTAATCATTAAAAAGGTTTGCTGTTGTTGAAATGGAGGAAAAAAAATAAAAATAAACAGGATAAAAAATAAAAAAAATGATCCTCAGAATATACGCAACAAACCCTAGAACGTATATGTGCACGATCCTTCGCAGTAAAGCACTATTTGAGCAATAGTGAAAATCAGACCTGAAAAAAATTTCAGGCCTGTACGGGACTCGAACCACTGACCTCTGCGATACTAGTGCAGCGCTCTACCAATTGAGCTAACAAGCCAACTGAGAGCAGGCCATCAAATTAATTCGACATAAACCCGTAGATGATAAATCAAACAACAACAAACATATGAAACATATGTTTTTTTTTCAGGTCTGATTTTCACTATTGCTCAAATAGTGCTTTACTGCGAAGGATCGTGCTCATATACGTCTCATAACCGCAGTTCACACATATGTTTCATATGTTTGTTGTTGTTTGATTTATCATCTACGGGTTTATGTCGAATTAATTTGATGGCCTGCTCCCAGTTGGCTTGTTAGCTCAATTGGTAGAGCGCTGCACTAGTATCGCAGAGGTCAGTGGTTCGAATCCCGTACAGGCCTGAAATTTTTTTCAGGTCTGATTTTCACTATTGCTCAAATAGTGCTTTACTGCGAAGGATCGTGCTCATATACGTCTCATAACCGCAGTTCACACATATGTTTCATATGTTTGTTGTTGTTTGATTTATCATCTACGGGTTTATGTCGAATTAATTTGATGGCCTGCTCCCAGTTGGCTTGTTAGCTCAATTGGTAGAGCGCTGCACTAGTATCGCAGAGGTCAGTGGTTCGAGTCCCGTACAGGCCTGAAATTTTTTTCAGGTCTGATTTTCACTATTGCTCAAATAGTGCTTTACTGCGAAGGATCGTGCACATATACGTTTCATAACCGCAGTTCATACATATGTTTCATATGTTTGTTGTTGTTTAAACCCTAGAACCTATACAAATAGACAATGTGTGGCACTGAAGCGAACTTTAAGATGTTCCTTTAAAATACAAACGCCAAATCCTTGGATAATACATATTGTCTAGAAAATATTTTCTCGCTGATTTGCAATCTGCGAAAAAATCCACATCACATTGTGGATGGGGGTGGGGGTAACGGTTACCTTATAACTGCGCACCTCTCCCCTCCTGGAAGCGCCCCCGCCTAATGCTAACTAAATAGCTGACGAATATTAATGCAGCAGGAACTTAAACTTCGAGTTAAAAATATGATACCTGTATTTTCCTGCCTTGGGAGTTGAAAAAAGGAACCTGAGCTAATTAGGTGGTGCGTCATTTAGCTGGGGCTCTGTCAGCAATTATAGAACGTAAAGATAAACTAGTAAAGAGAACAGCTAGTCGCTGAAAACATTCGACCTTTATTATTTCCTTATAACTGGTGAGTAAATCAGATAGGGAGGTAACCAAAATACAAATGTTTCCTCTGCAGACTGCTGACATTGTGTTTTGCTGAAAACACCTGTGTCACTATTTTTTAATAGCTCATGACAACTCAATCCAAGCGGCTAAATTTACACTACAGCTTCACCAGTGTTCATAGGTACAGGTTTCATACCTCTTTGGCAAATAACACTGTAGTGTGGGTCCTTATCGTGAATAACCTCAGTACAAAACGGTATGTAGGGCATTCATTGACAGCACCAGGGTAAAGGAACTTTTCTGCTGAAACAACAATCGAACGCTGAAAAAATAGGTGTCATATTTTTTATTTCCTCCGATCCAGCTCGATAATTTTTGTTTTGAAAACGACAGCGGCGCGTAGAGTGTACTCAGAAAACGAAATAGGAAGTGAGGTTTGACTATTCTTAATTGAACGTAATCGAACTTATTATCATAACACCAAAAAGAGTTAACCAAATTTTTACACTCATTTTAGAGAACCAAATTTACATTAGAAGTGTTTTGAGGCTTTGAAAGAGAAATGTTCACGAACTCAATAATGAATCGTGCATGGGGAAATGTTAATAACCATAAACGCTTGTTTTCAAGGCACCGCCCCCTTATGCATCAAGGAACTTGTTAAAATAAGAAATAATAAGTATGATTTAAGAGGCAATAATATGCTATCGCTACCAAAAGTAAATACCACAAAGCATGGATTGAACTCTTTTAAATATTTCGCCGTAAAACAATGGAATGGGATTCCAAATGAATTGCGCTTTAAAGCTGGAGGCAGAGAATTTAACAAACGAGTGAGGAACATTACATTTTAGTTACTTAAATTTTGTAATTTTAGATTTTTTGCTACTTTCATTTTCTCAGATTTTTATAGTATCATTGATATTTTAACTTAGTTTATATATATATTTATTATAATTTCAGAGCTTAGCAAAGAGTTTCCAGCAATCTGATTGGTCGAGCGGTTCCTCATATGACGCTATATAAACCGCTCCACGCGGTTTATATAAAATGTTAAAATAAAATGTTAATAAATGTTACTAAAATGTTATGATTTTAGAAATTTCT